ATTTTTTTCATGAGTGGACCCAGGTTATGTATTTTTGGCCAGAATTCCACAGAAGTGATGCTGTTGTTATTGCATTATATCTGATGGCACATGATAATTGTTTATTGGTGTTTGACCACTTGATTAAGGTGATGTCTTCCAGATTTGTCTGCTGTAAAATTACTTTGTTTTCTCCTCTGTCATTAATAAGTATCTTCAGAGGAGATTTTGAGACCATGTAAAATCTCCTTCCTCATCTAGTTTTTACTCAGTGATTTTACTATCCATTGATGTTTCTTGCCTGAATTATTACTGTGACAGTTGCCAAATGACGATTTTCTAATTCCTTTATTCCTTTTCCTTTTATTATTTGGCATTTTACTCCATGGAAGAGCTGTCTCTTCTTCCTGTTTATTTATTCATTTATTTATACCAGTGGGGACTAAGGATTCCTATTTTATTTAATGGGTTATAATCCTTTATTATCAGGATTTATTTTGATGTCATATTGTCTCAGATTTGGCCAGTGGGAGCCCTTGTAAGCTGGCTTTTGTGTCCTCTCATTTCTTTGAGCACAAGATGTTTCAGGCTCCTCTCGTTCTTTCTCTGCCGTAGCTCTGGAATCAGCCATTTTCTCCAAAGGGCGTTGATTGCTTTTAATGGAGAACAGTATTTAGAAATCAAGATCCAGAGCTAGATAAGCTCATTGCTCTGGGATATTGCTGCTTTAAGGTCCTTGAAATGGGCAGACCTAGGAAATCTATGTTTGTATATATGGACATGTACATGTACACACACTGACATCTATATTTAATTTTATATCTGTCTCCATATATTGAAAAGTGGAATTTATATTAATACTTCCAATTCTCCTTCAAAACTACAGGGCTTGTTCTAGATTTTCTCTTTCCTTGTTTTTGTTTTTGTTTTTTTAATCTCTCTTCTCCAACAGTGAGAAATCTGACTCCCTTTATCTTCAGCATATTTATTCACTCAATTCCTTTGTGTGTAGCCAATCTCTGGACCTCCTTGGCCACTGCCCCCCTCAGATGCCCTCCTTGTGTGGACTCTGACCCCTGTGGGCCACTGCCCTGCACAGATAACCTCCATGTACTGCCTGTGGGCTGCCTTCCTATCCTGTCCATCATCTTCCTCGATATAAGTCCTGGCTGTAGGAAAGAAGGTCTAATTTTTAAATGCTGGCCAAGTCATTCAAGTTGTTTTTTTTTTTTTTAAACAGTTTGTGGGTTAATCAGAACTTGATTAGTAGGCTGTAGGACGGACCTCTGGTCTAGATGATATGAAGGAAATGTTAGGAACTGGTGACCAGAGATGAACATGGTCTGTTTAATAGGGGCTTTAGTGAGAACCCTAATATCTTCCTGACTTAGGAGGGAAGATGAGCATGCATATCTACGTGGCCTTCTACATTCCCCATTGGGCTAAGCGAAATAAAGAGTGTAGCTTTTGGCCCTTTTGGTAACTTTCCATTGAGCCTAAGTTTGTTTTTGTTTTTGTTTCCTCTAATTCTTACTTCTCAATGCTCTTTAGAAGCCCACTCTGTGACACTAATAATCTTGTCCTTGCTGGAGTTTAGAGTATAAATTCCTCAGTGAAAAGGAAGATTAGGACGAAGAAACCTTATTTGTTGGAGATGCAGTCCTGTTGAAAAAAGGGGTGTGGAAATGACGGATGTGTGGAATACCAGGTTTCTCAACTGCCAGGCTTTTGCCACTCTTTTCTTGTTGTCGACCAAGTTAGATCAGGTCCCCATATCAAGGAGAGATGAAAACCCTCTTTCTCTGAAGCAGAACCTTTTCCTCCCTCTCGATCATTATTCTTTTGGGGGAGAGGATGGCAGGAGGTATGTCACTGTGGAGTAATGTCTGGGTGGGTCCTCTTTGCATTTCGTTAGAATTCAGAGAATGACAGTCACCCACTTGATTGGAGAATGTCTATAGAAGGAAGATTGGGATGCATAGATAAGGTTTACTTACCATGGAGTGACACGGTTGGAAGTTAGGTGATAAATACGGGAAGTTTCTGAAAAATCAGAGGTCCTTCTCATGCACAGACATGATGGTCATTAAACCCTTGTCCCTTAACCATACATGCCTGGTCAACATTTTCTCTTTGTCCACATCCTTCTTCCTGTCCTCATGTTTGTTTATTTTAATTTTGGGGTTTTTGGGGGTTGTTTTTCACTTTTCTTTCTTTGGCTTTCATATATTTCTAGCACAGGGAATTAGGAAGCGGAGATGGTGGGTGAGAAGAAATGGAGAAGAGGAACATTTTTAAATGCTGCCCTTTAATGTGGTAGAAATTCATGTTGACTTCATAGTCTGAGTAAGCATATGTAAATAATTTGTAAATCATATGAAAATAAACTTGTGGCCTTCCAGGATTTTTTTTCACACACTTGGATATGCCTCTTGGGAAAACCCCTTTAGTGAAGGGTGATATGGTTATAGTGGTATGTAAACAGGGGTTGATATTTACCATAACCATTTGACTCGAGTGTCCTTTTGTTGATGTTGAGTATCACTGGAAAGTTTTCTCTTTCCCTGGTTACTTCCTTCAGAGGCACGTATATTTTATACTTTGGTCTTCTTTTGACAACAGTCCAGGGTATCAAATTGCTGCTCTGTTTTCAGTGGGCTCCATGTTTAATCCTTCTGTCTTTTGCCTTCATTCCAAGTTCAGGAATTAGTCTCCTACACTATGCTCATATTTATGCTGTTCTTGCAGACCTAGGCTTTGTGTGCTGTTAATGCTGCCATTATTATTTCTTAAAATGAACTTTATAGATCAGTTCTGGTATTTCTACAGATGAGTTTTAAATCTGTACAACGTGATGCCAACAGTTTTTTCTTTTTTGCTTAATGTTTTCCATAGAATACTATGGTGCCAGGCACTATGTACGCACCCACTAGGTGTTTCTTGACCAGCTAATGCCCCATCATCCACAGCATCCCACACACAATTTCCCAGGCATGGGCGACCCTATTTTCATTTTTCACCCTTCCTATTGGTCTAAGGTTCTATAAGAGAAGCAGCATCTTGTGGTTAAGAACATGTGTTGTGGAGTCAGTGTGTGTGGGGGGGGTATTTATGAATTTATTAAAGTTACATTCTTTGAACTTAATATAACTTACGCATTATTACAACAGCCAGATTTGCAGACAGCAATATTGAGGGTGAGAAAATAATTCAATTTAGGGAGAAATGATTGTTTCAACATTTAACCAGATATATATGGGACAGCAACACTGTGACTAAGAGCATGGGTTTTAGAGTCAGACAGCCTTGGTTTTGATTCTGGCTGTGCTATTTCTTTTTTTTTCTTTTTAAGTTTTTATTTAAATTCCAGCTAGTTAACATATAGTGTAATATTAGTTGCAGGTGTACAATATACTGATTCAGCACTTCCATACAACACTTGGTGCTCATCACAACAAGTACACTCCTTAATCTCTCTCTCTTTTTTTCCTCCCTTCACTGTGTAGAAGTTTTTTATTTTGATGTAGTCCCAATAGTTTATTTTTGCTTTTGTTTCCCTTGCCTCAGGAGACCTATCTAGAAAGAAGTTGCTAGGCTGATGTCAAAGAAGTTACTGCTTGTATTCTCTTCTAGGATGATTCTTATAGTTTCAGGTCTCACATTTAGGTCTTTAATCCATTTTGAATTTATTTTTATATATGATGGAAGAAAGTCTAGTTTCATTCTTTCACATGTTGCTGTCCAGTTTTCCCAATACCATTTGTTGAAGAGACTGTTTTTTTCCCATTGGATAGTCTTTCCTGCTTTGTCGAAGATTAGTTGACCATATAGTTGTGGGTTCATTTCTGGGTTTTCTATTCTGTTCTACTCATCTATGTGTCTATTTTTTGTGCCAGTACCATACTGTTTTGATTACTACAGCTTTGTAATATAACTTAAAGCCTGTAATTGTGATGCCTCCAGCTTTGCTTTTCTTTTTCAAGATTTCTTTGGCTACTCTGGGTCTTTTGTGGCTCCATACAAATTTTAGAATTATTTGTTCTAGCTCTGCAAAAATGCTGTTGGTATTTTGATAGGGATTGCATTAAATGTGTAGATGGCTTTGGGTAGTATAGACATTTTAACAATATTTGTTCTTCCAGTCCATGAGCATGGAATGTCTTTCCATTTCTTTGTGTCCTCTTCAATTTCTTTCATAACTGTTCTATAGTTTTCAGAGTACAGATCTTTGAGCTCTTTGATTAGGCTTATTACTAGGTATCTTATTGTTTTTGGTGTAATTGTAAATGGGATTGGTTCCTTAGTTTCTCTTTCTGCTGCTTCGTTGTTGGTGTATAGAAATGCAACGCATTTCTGTATGTTGATTTTGTATCCTGTGACTACTGAATTTATCAGTTCTAGCAGGTTTTTTGTGGAGTTTTTGGGTTTTCTGTATATAGTATCGTGTCATTTGCAAATAGTGAAAGTTTTACTTCTTCCTTGCCAATTTGGATGCCTTTTATTTCTTTTTGTTGTCTGATTGCTGTGGCTAGGACTTCCAGTACTGTGTTGAATAAAAGTGGTGAGAGTGGACATCCTTGTCTTGTTCATGATCTTAGGGGAGAAGCTCTCAGTTTTTTCCCATTGAAGATGATGTTAGCTCTGGGTTTTTTCATATATGGCCTTTATTATGTTGAGGTATAGTCCCCCCCCAAGCCTACTTTGTGGAGGGTTTTTATCAAGAATGGATATTGTACCTTGTTAGTGTAATTTTGGACAAATTACTTAATCTTTCTAGGTTACATTTTAGTTTTTATATCCACTCTAAAAATGAAATATAATATTATCTACTTCAGAGACTTGCTTTAAGGAATGAATTAAATATTATATATGAAGCACCATAGGAGTGAGCACTTATCAAGCACTCATTATTTGTTAATGATATCACTCTCCTTTTATTAATACCACATTGATCCTGAGTTCTAGCCTACATTTCCTTGAACCCCTGCTCCTGACATTTAACTTAATGTCCTTTCTATCAGGTTTGCAACTGTGCGGTATGATCAAGGAGCCAAGAACATTCGGAACCAGTTCATGCACCTGACAAACTATAGTGTGAATAAGAAGAGTGGAGACTATGTCAGGTACTGGCTACAGCTGAGCCAACATCCACGTGTGGGTGTTGTGGATGTGGAAAGTCAGCTCATTGTCCTGCATTTATCTCCATGTAACCTATGGGAAGCCGTCCGTCATTTAGCACATTTAGCTGCTGCTTCTCCATTGCTTGCCCTCCTTGTTACAGTGTCACCTTTCTCTACCAAAATATGCCTTCCTAAATTTCGTCTTCACCATCTTTTCTCACTTGACTTACGTGTGGGAATTTAATAGGCATATGGAACTTTTTAGAAGTCAAGAAATGAGGTTATTTCAGCACTTGGCAAAATGTATCAAAAGCTTAAAAAATATTGGTACCCTTTGACCCAGCATTTCCATTTCTAGGAACTTAACCTTAAGAAATAACAAGAGATGTGTGCACAAGATCAGAGAGAATGTTCATGACTGTACATTGTTAGGTGGAAAAAACAGGTTGCCAGATACTACTTGTAGTTTACTTTCTTTTTTAATATATAAGATAACTAAAGCTGTTTATGTTTGCCGAGGGGAGAAAATGGAAACTATAAGGATATATACTAAAATGTTAGCAGTGCTTAACTAATGTGGACAGGATTATGGGCGGGTGACTTCTGTTTTCTTCTCTGTGCTTTCTTCTCTGTGCTGAAGTAAAAACTTGTATGTTTGGGGGGAAAAAGTTAGGAATAAATTAAATGAAGAAAGAAATGAGGCCATCTCAGAAAAGGATTCAGTGGAAGGGAGTACAAGCCCAGCTGTGTGGAAATATTCCTTCTGCTCTGTTTTCTTTCATCCTGATAATTTTGCCAGAAAGTGGAAAAATAAAAAAGAAACCCAAACAGTTACTTTCTACTCAGACTAAAAATAGGTGTCTAGAAGGTCCAAGGAAAGGAAGAAAAGAATCTGGAAGTGATGGCATAGTTGCCAAAGCTCTGTAGATTTCATGGAGTGTCCTGTGACCGTTTGGAATGGTTGAAGATACCATCTCCTTCACTCTGGAAGACGAGCAGACATGCAGCTAGTGGGTGGTGGGGTGGTGGTAGGGAATGAGGGGGCAGCTGCGAAACACGGGTTCCAGATTGCAAGACCCTTCCAGTGGTCTTGGCAGTGTACCCTGTTTGCCAGTCTGCTGCTCTAGCAGGGGGGTACTTCTTTGCTTTCATTGTTTCTCCAGTGCATTCTCCCTTCAGCGATAACTCAGAAAGTATCAAAAAAAGCTGTGTATACCTCTGAAGCGGAGGGAGCTTGCTTCAGATGCTAACGCAGTTCTGTGCTGGGTTAGCTTATTAAAATGCTACACTACATAAGCTCACTAGCCCACCCAGACTCAGTTCTGGTCCGAAAATGGCATTAGAAGTTCTTCTGTGGGCTCATGTGACATTTACCTCAAAGTCTAGGTTAGTATCCCTGAACATTTCACTCTATTAATGTATTGTAACCACTCTTAAATTGTTTACATTCTTTCACACATTTCTTCCACCCTTTCATGATACATAATTGTTTGCTTAAGGAAGAATTTGCTGCCTTCTCCCCTACCCCCATCGGTAAGGGAGGCCATATGCATTTTCATTTCAATGGTAGGTAGGGATATATGACCAAAACGACCAAGAAAAGTTGCTTAGTGGAGGTCAGCAAAGGGAATGTTTTCCTAAAGATTAAAAGGACAAGTATTTGTAAAAAATCTGATTTCTGCTGCCAGGCCTATTCGCATGTGTGACCTCTGTCCATTCCTTTGTTTTAGCTGTGATGATCCAGAGGTGGAGGATTATGGGAACAAGTGGAGCATGAGTGCCATGCTGAGGTATCTGAAACAGGAAGGCAGAGATACAACTGGTGAGTACCAGGCCTTTTTCCCTGTTGATCTCTCTCCTCTGTGTAACCTGCCCTGGCCTCTCAGCATGTCACCTCTGTAGTTCTGACAGTGTCACTGAGACATCTGATGGGGTCATTGGTGGTGGTGTCAAGTTTTCCTGCCCCGTCCAAGATGGAGAACAGGCTTTCCATGAGCCCCGAAATCCTTTTTCTTGTTCTAGTTTGGAAGGCACAACTTCTTCCTTTAGCCTTTAGTGAATTAATCCTTCTTGAGTGTTGAACTGCAAACTGAAATACTTTCTCCATATTGGCCGTGAGTGCAAATTTGTCCAAGTTAATCTCTCCCCTTCATGTTGCTGAATTGGAGAGTGAGCAGTGTCAAACAGGAGTACAGGGCTTGGCATCAAAGTGGACACTACTGCTGAGCCTTGAGCCGAGTGAGAAGTGCGCAAAAGGCTAAGCTCAGTCTACAAAGAGATGGGTGGTAGGAGAAGGCCGAAAGCGGGCGAGTAAGGCTTCCTTTCCATTCCATGTCTATCTTTTGTCGTAGCAGGCCACTTGAGTACAGTCCCCGGCACCTACATTCTGGACTGTGTCAACTTATTCCTAGATACACCTTCTCCTGGAGTACCTATTTGCATGAGCGCCACCTAGAGACTTTTTGGCATGAGCACATGTGCTTTTATAACCACACTGTGTTCTGGAATCCAGTCTTTCTACTCCATGCATTATAGTGTTTCTTCCTTCTTCTTCTTCTTCTGCTGCTGCTGCTTTTTCTTCTTCTTTTTTTTTTTTTTTTTTTTTGTAGCATTGATGGCCCATGTGGAAGACCTGATTATTAAGACTATAATCTCTGCTGAACTAGCTATTGCTACAGCCTGTAAAACCTTTGTTCCTCACCGCAGCAGTTGTTTTGGTAAGGAGATTCAAGAAGCTTACTATGTTTTATGAAAAGGGGGTTGGGAAGTTGGGATGGGATCCTGGGGTAGAGAGGCTTAGTGATTCTACAGGAATAGGAATAAGAGGTATGTGGTGGACTTTTCTTTCTAGGCTCACATAGCACATGAAGGTCCCGCTAAGAGGCCAGTGGTAGGCTTACTTGGAGGTCCCCTGAGGACTCACGAGCTTTCTGTGTGGGAAGCAGGGATTGGAACTAAAGTATGGGTCTCTTTGTCAGAGTGCAATCAGAAAAAGCCTGCAATGGACTGTACAGGAATCCAGCTTTAACAAATATATTCCAGAGCTCTTTGGCAGCCAGACTGGGAACCGTTCCAAGAAGCTCTGGCTGGTACCAGTATGTGCTTTCTCCCAGTTTCCAATGACTCCTCCTTTTTGTGTTAGTCTTCTTTCTAGTGGCTTTCTCCCCCCACCTCTCTTTCTTCTCCTCCTCTTCCTCCTTCCCTCCCCTTTTCTCCCACCCATAACTCTCCGATTGCACAGAGAAGGAGTAAGAAACAGTTCACAACTCCTGGATCAGGAAGTCCATTCCTCCTGACCTGCTGGCTGTGACAGGCACCAAGGGCGCCTGCGCACGTTTGCTTTCTGTGTGGGTGTGAGCTCTTTAGCGATTGCCAGTGTCAGTGTCTGTAAAGTCCACTAGGCTTTCGGCAGGTGGTAGGCTTTGTTAGTAAAACACACTAGGGTCATTGCTGGGGGGATATTTAAAGTAATACAGTAGTCAGGATATAAGGCATGGCTTGCTCGGGAGGCTGGGTAACAGGAAAGTAGAGAACATGGCTATTGGAGCCTGATGGAGTTAGTTTAAAAGCCATTCGCACCCCTTACTAGTTTTCTCATTTTCAGCAAGTTACTCCAGTCCTGTTTCCTCAACTTTAAAATGGCAGTAATGATGGTACCTACCTCCCAAGGGTACCATGAAGATCAGATGAGAAGATGTGTGCAAAGCAGTTGGCTCAATGTCTGCTCCTCAATTTGTGCTCAATAGAAATTATTTCTTTGTTATTTTTATAACCAGAATTAATAATTCTTGACCTCTTTCATGGATTATCATAATAGTCTGTACTTGAGGGGCACTAAAAAAGGGAGGTGTTGAGACTCCGAATAGAAGAGCTTAGATAAACCAGGACCTGAAATTATATAGGAAAAGAAGAGGTTGTGACATCTTTTCTAAATGCAGGTATCTTCATGTCTTGTAAAACCCTCACATGGCTCCTTAGGCTTAACTAGTAAATAGAAACTTGATATGACTTCAAGGCTTCTAAGGACCTGACCCCAGCTGAATTTTCTAGAAATTCTAGAATTTTTAAGAAATTTCTAGAATCTCCACTTACTCCTTATAATCCAGCTATACCACTGAGCACTCCATGCCTCTGTGCCTCGGTATAAATTCTGCTGTCCTGTCTGCCCAGCACACTCATGTTCATATTCTAAGACTCAGCTTGACCATTGCCTTTTCTAGGAACCCTTGCTTAACAAAGTGCCCTGTTGTGTCTCCTTTCTCATGCTGTTCGATACTTTGTTCTGTTATGTTCTTTTCCTATCATATTGTGATGTTTTGTTTACATGTGCACTTCCCCCTTAGTCTCTGAGCTTATTGCCTCAATTCTCAGTAGCCACTGTGTCTCCCCTTCCCCTCTCTCTTTTTGCCAAACCAAACCTTTCACCGTCTCCCTGGGCCTGCCAGGTCCTTCCCTCCCCCTCTGCCTTTGCACCTGCTTTATCCTACGTTTGACAGATTTTTCTCATGTTACTTTACTTAATAGATTACCGACATCTTTTCAAGATGAAGTCAAGTATCAGTTCTTTGGTGAATTTTTTCCTAAGTATTCCAGTCACAGCCCTCCCAGCCCCCAGCTTTCCATTCATAATCTGCAGTGGTACCTGATTGTCATCTGGTACGCATTTATGTGTCTGACTCCCCTCCTGGACTAGAAGCTCCCTGCAGACAGGAGCGGTGTCATCCTAGTTTCTGTTCCTCTTGTGCACAATAGCATTGTTTTTGCTCTCAGAGGATGTTTAAGAAATGTTTGTGAATGAATCATTGGTACTTGCTCTAATTGCCTTTTGGTGGCCTTTGATAGTAGGCTTCTCGGTAGATCTGGTTTGGTAAGGGCCTAGAGCTCTTAGCATTATTGTAAACTGTTTGAGGAAGGGGTGCATAGAACATATCTTCAACTTCAGAAACCTCACTAGATTAAAAAACTAAAGTTTCTTTCCCACATCTACTTGGCTCTTATATGAGGGTAAATTTCTTGGCATAAAAATTTTTGTTGTAGAAATGATCATAAGCTGTTCTGAAGGTTTCCTTTTCTATTTGTTTTATTACCTGATTGCCTTTTGGAAGCTTGAGAATTTCTGGAACTTAATGGCAGTGGAGATTCCGACATGAAATAAGTAGTGACTTTCTCTGACTCAGTAAAATACCCCTAAGTCCATTTCATCATCCATGGGTCCCCTTTCCCCCTCCCTGCTTTTCTTCAGTTTTAATAAAGTGAGTGCATCTGGAGTTTTTTAAGTTGTTGACTGTCTTCTTGGCTTTTGTGGTTCTAATTCCACTTCCTGTCAACCCTGGGATTTTGTGTGCTTCATTAACCTCCCTCCATCAGATATGATTTTGTATACGTGTATATATTTGTGCGAGTCTCTGGCTCCCACTGACTCCTGCTAGCTTCCCCTGGTGTTCAAGTTACAAGGAGTAAACTGGGTTTGTTTTCTGTCTCTCTCTCTCTCTTCCTTCCTTCCTTCCTTCCTTCCTTCCTTCCTTCCTTCCTTCCTTCCTTCCTTCCTTTCTTTTCTTCCTTCCTTCCTTCCTTCCTTCCTTCCTTCCTTCCTTCCTTCCTTCCTTCCTTCCTTCCTTCCTTCCTTTCTTTTCTTTCTTTTTAGAATAAACAGGAATTGAGAGCGTCCCAGAATAATTTGGCTTGCACAGAGCATTGGTGCTTTTAAGTGGAAGCCAGTAGTCCAGTGATGGGTTCACTACATTTTTTTGGTTGTGGTTTCACCCATACACATTATGGATCTTGGCTAGGAGCATTCCATTTCTAAGCGTTTCTGTCCTTCTGACTTCTTTCCCACTCTACCACCCGTAATTCTTGACTATGCTTTTTGGGACTTCCAGTATTCTGTTCATTTGCTTATCTATGCATTTAACTTATTTTCAGTCCCTGCTGAAAGGCATAGATTATAAGTGTTGTTCCTCTCAAACTGGATTTTACATGGATGGTATATACATACACCTGCATTGTATTATTGGCATTTAGCCGTAGACTTAGGAACCTTCACAAACAACCTGAAACTTAGCTGTGCCATGTAATCCCTTCTCATAGATTTGTACATCTGGAAAGGACCCCAGAGAATAATTAGTCCATATAAAGAAGTTGAGGCCTGAGAAACTAAGACCCTTCCTGAGGTTCCAGAGCTTGTGAGTGGAAGAGCCCACATGAAGGAGACCTGGCCTGGAGGGCAGGGGTCCACAAGATGGTTGGCTGTCAGGTCATCTTGATCATTGCACTCTTGATTTATAAAGTTTTTGATGCCTCTCCCAATAAAATAGATTTCTGTCACTCTAATTTTTACTGCCTTCAATATTGTAAAAATATGGTACCATGTGAAATATATGTGTAAACAGCAACCCTTTAAGTATGCTTAGGAAGTTGGCACTGTGACATAACTGGCAAAGAGAATGGCTTTTTTGACCAGTTGGAGAAAAATAGCCAAGAGCAACAGGATGTTAGCTGTCCTTTACAGATGCTGCTGCTGACAGCAGTTTTATCTGTGTGTGCGAGGATGGCTGAAGTAACAGGCTGTGATCCTGGTCCTCCCCGGCTCGGGACTCCTCTGAGCCAGCCGTCCTGCCACTTGTAGAGGCGACGAGGCTGGCCTTGTTTAGGTCAGAGGCCAGGGACAGTCCATGCTCAGTACACCTCTCTCTGTCGAATGAATGCTAGTTTGGCCTTCCATTGCTCATGTTCTAGACCATTTCATAGGGTAAACTGATATTCTCAAAGGGTGGGTGTCCATAAATATTTGTTGAAGGAATGAAAGTGGGTAGCATACATTCCCCAATTATGTAAACTACTTGACCATCACCAACAAAAGTCAGCAAACAGTTCATTTTTCTTTCTTTCTTCTTTTTTAAACAATTCACTTTTCGAGAGAGTCTCCTTTCTGCTTTATCCTGTGCTCCTATTCAGGTGGGAAGGGAAGTTTACTGTAGAAGGGGCTTGGGAAGAAGGAAGTACCTACTGTTTGTCAAGCACTTTTCATTGGTTATTCCCTTTAGCCCTCTTAAGGATTTTGTTGGTATTTATTACCCATGTTTTATAGCAAGGAGAAAGGATTCAGAAAGGTTAAATAATCTGTCCTAGGTCACGCAGTTAACAAATGGCAGAGCCAAGTTTGGGAGCCAGGTCTCTCTGGCTCTTTCTCCACTCACATTAACACAAGCTCTGATGAGTCTGACCACTTTTGGCATGTTCCATATCCTGGATTCTCCTCCTGCTCTCCTGTAACTAGATCTCAGGAAAAATGATATCATTCTCTCTAGCAGATCAGGCCTGAAAAAGGCACTCTTTTGGCCCTAATCAACAGTACCGAGTCCTAGATACTCCTTTCAAATCTACCTTTACATATGGTAGCCAGATACCATATTGATTTATTGGACTAGTTAACAAATTGGCTCTGGGCTTTTTCTTTTATTTAGCTCATTTTCCTCTGGGATTTTGATCTGCTTTTTTCCAACTTCTCCTTCTGGACCCCAGATAAAGACTTCCTCCTTAGGTTTTCAACTCAAATCCAAAGCCAAGGTAAAAAGAATTTCCTTTATACAATAGTATTTGACTGGCAGTGCGGACTGGCTAATGTCAGCACTTTCCACTGCTTCAGGATTACAGCTGCAGCTGGGACTTTGTTTCTGGGGAGGGTTAGTGGATTGATTCCACAATTAGTGGTGTGACA